CCCCAAAACCCCAAAACCCCAAAACCCCTCTATAAGCCTATATACATTAATTAAAAGATGGGTAGACTCGCTAAAATTTATGAGAACATGACATTTGGGCAAACATGATTCTTAGTGATCCTTCTGCCTTTATTTTACTTGGTTCCTTTGATGTATAGAATGTGAGACACCTTCTCACACGAAAGACAACTAGAAAGACCAGACTATGATAATCCAAAATGGGATGATTTCTTGCCAGTCTTGCTTATTAGCCCCTTGATCACACTCCTAAAATACTTGGTTAGGAAATATACAGGCCCGGTATTTAGGTCTAAGCTTGAAAAGAAATACAATGGGGAAGCGCTTAATCTCAAGGTCTATAAGTCGACAAGAAATTTCTTCAAGATATTTTACTATTCTTTTATTACATTTCTTGGCTTTTATGTATTAAGTGATACAGAATTTCACTCATTTATGATGTTTGGAAAAGGAAACTTTATGTACCTGAAGTCGGATTGGCCTTATAACAAGTTGCCAAACTTATATAAGATGTATTACATGATTGGAATGAGCTATCATCTAGAAGACACAGTCTCTCATTTCTTCCATCCAATTCAAAACGACTTCTTTGAAATGCTATTGCACCATTACATTACTATCATGCTTGTAATGGGATCTCATATGATTTCTACCTGGAACTTTGGTATTATTGTGATGATTCAGATGGATATCTGAGACATCTCAGTTTCTTGCATAAAGGCATTCATGGACTTCTGCTCTCCAACAGTTGTGTTCATCAACTACCTTGTCATGCTGTTTAGCTGGACATATTTTAGAATCATTGTGTTTTCTTATGAGTTGATAGCTGCTATAACTATAAGATCAGGATATTCATTAAGTACAGGAAAGAATGCCCTCACCTGTTTTGTAATCCTTCTCGTAGGACTTTTGGTGCTTAATATTTACTGGGAAATTCTCTTCCTCAGAATGGGTTACAGATTCATTGTCAAGGGAGAAGCGAAGGACATCCAGAACCCTGTAGAAGATGTAAAAAAAGAAAGGAAACTTAGAACTTTCTCGATCAAGACAACCACATAGTTTTCTATAAATTTGAAGCGTATTCACTCAATAATAGGAAACTTTCTTTTCAACATTGTATTAGAATATCGGGGTTTTGGGGTTTTGGGGTTTTGGGGTTTTGGGGTTTTGGGG